TGGGGTATTTTTACTGCCTTTACTTTTAAGCTCATATCACAGTCCTTCTAAAGGCTACATACACATGCTATATCTTTTTTTTTCAGGACAATCTGGGCTAACCAGATTTGCCATCATTTCATGTCCTTCTATGTGCCTGTATTTTATATTAATTTTTATATCAATGAAAAAAAACAAATCCGTGTGACTAAATTCTTACATTTTTACATGTATCTCACCATAGCAAGTTGGAAAATGACATATTCTGCCATATATGAAGAGGGGAGACTCTCTGGAATCTGGCAATATAAGAACCATGATGCTGGGACATTCTGTCACTTCACAGCTGTCCAAAACGTGGTTGTCTGGGTGCGCAAAGGTGAAGTGGCTGGTCTTGTCATACAAAGTTTGATGGAGTGTCAACTGGACAATATGGAGATATTTGAATCTTGAAAGCCGGACTACAAATGTGGATAGACAGGGAGAAACACACGCAAGCCTAAGACGTGGTAAGATACGATATTCCTCACTATATGAAGTGACTGATAACAAGATCTGTATAATGGATTGTAAAGAAATTTGTCAGGTTTTTATTTTGTAGACAATTAATCTGCTCCTGCGCTTTCATGTGATATGTGTGGCATTTCTGTGCGAGCCTGCATTCGCGAGTAATCCATCTAATAGTAATGTGTGTGCATAGCTTTATGAAAGCTCTGTTATACATCATTTTAGTGTAACTTTATCTTTTTTTTTTCGCTGTGAAAACATTGGACTACCGACAAGTGCTTGGCCTTGTCGGAAAGCTATGATTCTGCTGTTTCACGTGATATGCGTGGCTTCTCACTATGATGCATGGTCGCGGAGATAATCCACAGAGAAGAACAGGTGTGAATTTGGATGCACTATGCGTCGTTCAGGCCCATAGGGTTAACCTGCATGTCTTTGGACTGTGGGAGGAAGCTGGAGCACCTGGAGAAAGCCCACACTGCTATAAGGAAAACCCTCCACCCTGGATTCAAACGGGAACCTTCTTGCTGTTAGGTGAACTAGACCGCACTGATCAAGTATGAATCAAGGTTCTGTTACTGCATTGTCTATTTCTTGCCTCAAATGTTTTCAGAAATATATTTTAGTGTACTGTTTAGCTGTAACATGAGAACGTTTGAGACCCGGTCGGCATGTAAAAAATAGTTGACCGAAGTAGCAAGCAATGCCCATCAGCTGGGACAACTTTCTCATTTCACATGGGACGTTGGACCTGTTTGGTTTAGTCTTTTAGCAAGATGTTATGTCCTGATCAAGGGTTCGTTCACCCACATCATAAAATAATTAACTGGTATCTAGTTAAGCTGAGAGTTTTGGATTTGTTTGTGCATGGTTTGAGATTGCTGAGTTTTATGTCTCTTCTGTCATTGGATAGAGGTGAATGGAATTGACTGATTCTTACAGCACTGAACATTACATTTTGTAAAGTTGATAGTTGTGTTCCTTGCAGAAATGTTGTCCCTGTTACTCTGGATGATGCAGAGACCCACTTGCCAGGAAATTTCCTAATGACTGTCTTGTCAGTAGAAAGTAGTTCCAATGAAAACAGTTATAAAGATGGCCTAATCAGGACCTCATTTGGTAAAACAACACCTCTCGTGGCAAAGACAAAATAAAATTTCTGTTCATAATGCATAAAACAAAATTTCACATTCATAACTTTGAAAAGAAAGTGTTGTTTCTGTTCCCCATCTGTATACATACTTAATATATTCACACTGTGGATAAAGTTTAAATTAAAAGCATCGCAGCTCAGGCCTTGAACTGTCAACAAATCTTCCCCAAATAGCTGAAGCTCACAAAATGCAAATCTATCTTGAGAATGGGTTGGCAGGAAGTGCACAACACGCAAACTGCAGCTGCTCCAGCTCCCAGTATAACCCCCAGCACACTGTATAGCACTTATCACACACACACATAGATTTCCAAGGCTAAGTGACCTGCATGCTCTCAGCTTTGAATGACATAAGTACCTGAGTAGCCTTGGGTTCTGCACCCAACCTGAACACACTTATATGGCAGCTGATGGCGATGCAGGCCGCTTCCATGGTCATCCATCAGACCCCTGAGGTAATGTCTATAAACACACTCGACTTACATCAGCCAGGATAAAGGCCTCTATTAAGAAAATGAATAATACCAACTGAGGGGAGGTGACCTCAGGCCGCTCACGTGTCAACAAGGCTGACACACGATTGGCTGCGCAGGTTAGTATCTGTGCTACCAAGGGGGCGGTCCAGAGGTTGACAGATGCTCGAGGCCGAAGTGAGATGGGCTACAGAGTCAGCCGTTTCAGTCCTGTGATCTAATCTGTTACCCATCATGCATCCTGCTTCACTAATGAAAAGGCAAGGTCCCATCCGTCACAAGCAGCTATGGTAAATGGAATTTTACCCCCCCCCCCCCCCATACTGAATGAAGCTCCTCAGGCACAAACGCCTGGAAACATGTGCAAAAGGCCCTGGATGATGGACGATCATTGCAAAAGACCTCAGAGCAACGGCAAATTAATATCAAGAGGAAAAAATCAGTGACGACTCCCGCTTCCTATAGATGCTCCTCTGCTTTCTGTCATTTTGCTCAGCAACAAATGTAGCAAAGCTCAGCTCAGCCTCCGTTTCTGTTTAACAAGACTTCCAAGAGGATCCACATTGTCTTGATAATCACTTTCATTCAAGCAGGCAGCAGTGTACGCGGGGTGTCACACCACATGGTTAAATTTGATTTTAGATCAAGAGGGCTCAAAGGGTAATTTTTGGCATCACACAAGCGTAATAGCTACAGAATGAATCTTAAAAAGTGTGAATGTATTATTATGTTCGCCCTGTGCAGATTCTTCGTGGAGGGCATCATGCTGACTGAAAGGTATTCAAAAACTGGAAATAATATCTCTTATTATGAAGGCACTGAGGTCCTGATCTAGACAAGTAAGCTATTGAAATTGTTTATGGCTGCAAAAAGACACAGGTCATAACAAGTTACAGTAAGCAAGGTGGCGCCTGTGGCGATCATCGGCTGGAATATACCTAACACATTATGAAATATTAAAAGAAAAATATGAGAAAATGCTGATAAGATACAATACATTTTTAAATGATGGCGTTAGAAATGATCCTAGGCGCAAATCAAGTTCAAAAGTCCATGAGCAATGTCAGATTTCAAAACATTACAACTAGTAAGGGAAATATGTGTTTCTAAGGTTTGGGTACTCAAGTTTTTCTTGCACCGTGACCTGCCATTTTCCATTTTTCCCCACTCATGAAAAGATAATCTGCGCAATGGTGTCCATCAACCAAGGCTGGATTTAGGCAACTATTGATTGATGGAAGGGAGTCAGCTGATAGATCACATGATTCCTTTCTATGCAACCAATTGGTGAATCTCATTCAGGGCGCCCTATTTAAACTGCTCTGACCTGCCTACTGTTGCTGCTTCCTCTGCAAGCAGCTTTGCAACCTGCCTCCACCCCAGCTCTTCCTTTTCATGCTGTGTCTGACTTACCAGTGTCATTTCTGTTTGTCACTGATGCTGCTCTGTTCTGTTCCCGGTCTTTGCTGCTGCTCTCCCTGCCTTAGGCTTTCCATGCAGGCGCATGGAAGGGCAGAGGGGATTTGCCTCTTTGCCTTAAGGCTTTCCTCATTTGCACATGGAAGGGCAGAGAGATGTGCTCTCCCTGCCTTCGGCTTTCCATGTAGGGGCATGGAAGGGCAGGGAGTTTTGCTTTTCTGCCTCAGACTTTCCTCATTTCCATGTGGAAGGGCAGAAAGGTGTGCTCTCTCTGCCTCAGGCTTTCCATGTAAGCATGTGGAAGAGGCTTTCTGCATAGGCCAGAGGAAAGGAAAAGAGGCCCCAGAACAGAGCCATACCGCCAAATATAATACTGCAAATGGAAATAAAATTTTCTTTGACTAAAGTGTTCCTGACTGTGGCAATTCATATGTGGCAGCGTGCCACAAATTACTGGGTGTTTACATAGCCACCTGAACTTCTCATCACTGAGGGACAGTGACAGTAAGCAACAGAGCGAAATAATGTTTAGGTTTTTGTGAAAGTGATGGGCTGTTCTTGAAGGGGTGTGAATGAGAAGCAGAGAGATGTTAACTGTAGCCCCCTGCTTTCGTGATTTTGTTTTTGTTTGCTCTGATTGTTCTATTAAATGTCTTCATTAATTCTAATGTTGTTATTTTGCCTCTATGAAATGTTACTAACAGTATTAACTGCCTGTTATAGTGATAGTATAATGTTTTTCACAGCAACCCTGCAGTTTAGTGCGCTGCTGCGGCCTTATATGTATGTGCATGCATGTGACCTGTTAAGTGGTTGTGCACATTGGAAAATAGGACTCCCCCGAAAGCCACTGTGTAATCTGAACCCTGGTCACAAGTGTATATGGAGCTGGATGGATGTTTTTCACTAATTTATTTATATCTCTTTTGCCATAACACTAAAACATGTAATAAGCCAAATTACGACTTATTACTCAACTGCTGTTTTAGTGAATCACAATGAAAGCATTCGTTTCAAAAAGAGAAGTGGCTTTGGTCTTTTACAGAAGCTCAATGTCACCTTCAGACGTGGTGCTCCCCGCCCACAGCTGAACCAAAGTCCTCTGTTATTCTTCCATACAGCACCAGCCGCTTCACTGTTTGATACCCTGAGGTTCTTCACTCTCTGTTCCCACTAGTGCTCTGTTTGTGAGCTTAAATCCAGCATTTGAAGCTCCACAGAGCTCCCAGCAGGGACACACCAGCTCCCTTTTTCCTCTCAGCCTTAATGGCAATGAAAAGACAAGACATCGAGCACATTGTTATACAGGCTGTTGTGACATTATGATATCCAGTGGCAGGAGAATTTAAATGAAGCTGTGTGGATGTTTTAGAAAATAGGCGACTACAGAAGATTAGAAGGAAAATTAGGTTAACTTCGTGAGAGTCTTCTTTTCATGAACCACCCCTCCTCTCTGTCTGTTTCCTCAGGGTTTTTTCCGCCGAAGCATCCAGAAGAACATGGTGTACACGTGTCACCGGGACAAGAACTGCATTATCAACAAGGTGACGAGGAACCGCTGTCAGTACTGCCGCCTGCAGAAGTGCTTTGGAGTGGGAATGTCCAAAGAGTGTGAGTTTCAGACCCAATTTACACAGTGTGCTGATATGGAATTGAATTAAATATTGTCATGGGTTTGAAAGAAGCGGTTTAATATCCGCCGCTCTGTGCTGTTTCACCTGCTTTTCCACCCAAACAAGAATAAATAAAAATAATAATTTAAATAAATAGATAAATAAATAATCATCAGAATTTTGGAGTTTCATTATATTATTTATTTATTTTAACTTATATAATTCAGGCAGATCCATAGGTTGGGGAAATATAAAAACATTTTAACCCTTCCTTCAACTTTTACAAAATATGTGAAATTTGCATCAGTGTTAGATTTATTTTGTTTTATTTTTTAAATTCAGTTTTACAGGATTATACGTTTGTATCAAAGACAAATGTAATCACCTTTTATAGTGTGCCATCAGGGAGCAAAGACGTGTTATTTTCAGAAATGTGTGCATCTTCACCTCCTGTCCTTCATGACTTATATAAAACATTAGGCCACGACAGATGGATATAACAGGATATGACAAGACAGATACTAAAAGAAAGCAAACTTAAACACTGCGAGACTAAAAATAAAAGCACGTTGACAACAGATATGTTGAACATTACTCATCAGTCTTGTTAAAGAAATCAAGAAAAGCATCTCATCTCATAAATACAACATGAAAATTCTTATCCAGAAAACAAACCTGTCTGAACACATGTTAGGCAGTTCAACTTTTCACACTGTACACCAAGGAAACATTTCAAAAATACTGAGGTTTGATTTCGGGCCTTTAAATGCCGTCCTTGTAGAACTCATCAAGATCACTTCAAAGTTAATTTGTCTCACACCCCCAATATTATACTGTGACCCCACTCCTTGGTGTGTGTTTTGTGCAACACATTAGCATTCACATTGGCACAGGATAAGCAAAGTCTGTTTTTTACTTGAGTTTACCGCCACACATTGTCACGTCATCCATCTCATCATCTTTTGCTCTTTCGCTCCTTAAGCTTGTTCTTTCTTTGAATGTGTCTCCATGCTGTGCAGCACAACGAGCCTCCTGCACCCAAATGCTGTTATTTATAATTGCCAACGCAGCCTCCATAATTCTCAGTCAGGAAAAAGGCAGAAAGGAGGAAAAAATAAAACACCTACGTACAACTCCAAATCACAGAGATGTCGAATGGCACTTGACTAATATTATTACATGCTCTGTTTGGAGAATTATGGGAGGTATTTCATGGAATTGTTACGTCACAAATTACAGACATGGCAGATTGAGACCTCAGACAACCTCTGCAATTATTACAAATGATTAGAGGTCCTCAGGTAACACTAGTCCTGTGTGAAGAGGGTTAATGTTGATGACGCTGAATTCTGTTGCGTAACTTGCCTCAACTCCAGTGGCAGAAAATGTCTCACCTGGCTCAGAGGTGTGGATTATAAACTGTGATTGAATGATGAGATGTAATGGAGAACTCAGTCCTCACACAAATGTTTGATGCACCTCTGCGTTAATATACACAAGGCCAGAAATGCTAATTAGACAAGCTTATTAAACCCATTTCATCATGCTGTCAGAATCAGTAGTTGCATTTTGTCAGAGCTTATCAGAGAGATGTTCTGCAGTATAGGATGCACTGAGCAGAGATACAGCAGCAACACAGGAGGGAGAAACATAATCTATTGTGTTTAGCCAACCAGCTTCTCTTGTAAGAGTTTAACATTCCCAATATTTTGAATTCCTTATACGTTTTTGGGATTTTCAAGCTGCAAGTGACATCAAAAACCTTGTGTCATAAAAAGGCTGCCTGTCAGGAGAAGCACCTACATTCACATTTGAATCTTGGGATGACCTAATTTTGAGTCATTACTATTCTGTCTGAGTCTGTTCTAAGTAAGCAAGAGCGGCTCTACCCGCTGCTCAGGTTCAAGTTGGGTGGAACTACCAGGTGTAAGAAAAGAGGCAGACAGTTAAAGATTCAATTTAAAAAAAAAAAAAATGCGAATTAAAGCACATTTCTGTGGGGCCACTATTGTAGCAGAACTATTTGCAAATGTGTGGGGGGAGTTGTGTATTTGTAAATGTGTAAAAAAAAATCTCTTAATGCGTATTGACATCTGTGTTTGTGTAGTCAGATTTGTAAATGTGACATCATTAGCATCTTTAGTGATTTGGTGGTAAGTGAACTAGGATATTTAATTCCAAATATGGTTTCTCTCTGTCAAGTTTTAAATTCTTTGCGTGCGGAATTTTTTTGGAGGAATGCCTCTGCACCTCATTGGTCAGGACCTGTAGCTCACAGTCTGAAAATTTCCGTTTTCTTTGTCCTTGCTTTTGTTCTGCCGACTGTGTTCTTGGCACAAAGGTAGCGTCTATACTATCAGATGCAAAAACGGGCAAATTTTCTGGGGATTTATGTGTTGTAATATCATTAGTAAATTGAACCTTGAGACAGGCAGATAGTGGTCGCAAGTGATGCTCAATTCATGGTGCTATCAGCGGCTGCGATCCATTCTTTGTGAATTCACCCCAAAGTATTTTAGAGAGCTGGAAATTCAGACAAATCATCAGTTACAACTCAGGCAGGCCTCTCAATTGGCTGTTTCTTTACACGTGCGTCTATCTTCACTTCTGTCTTCACCTGCAAATGTGTTTAGAAATTTGTCTGTGCCGCTCTACCCGCACTGACTTTTCAACCATGAAAATCTTTGTATGCATTTACAGATTTGTCTACACATTTGCAAATCTGCATGCAGACTTTTTTAATTTTATAAATGGGATTCTGAATACACATTTGCAGATTCCTGTGCACATTCACAAATCTCAGTACACATTCAGAGATCCTTTTACACATTTACTAATCTGATAATTGATTACACGCAGTTACACGACCTCTCCACGCACATTTTCAAATAGTTCTGCTACAGTAATGGCCCTGTTCAGTCCCATCCACCACTGTTATGTGAATATTTGGTATTGATTCATCAAGATAAACAGTAGGTGATGCAAATTCTCCAGAGGTGCTATTATGCCATTGCAGAAGAAGTAGGTGCAATGAGGTGATGTAATTAAATGTGAGCAAATCTGAAATGGTTGAAGGTTGATGGGGAAAAAATGTAAGAAAAAAAAACTTGACATTTCTGTTTGCTTCATGTGTTAATGTGAGGAAGGTTACAGTCTCCTCATCGCTCCACACAGATCTGTTCTCGTCTCTTGTCATTTTTCATCTCCTCACTGGAAGCTTCAGTGACATTTAAGTCACATGCGTCATATAGGTCATGATTAACTCGCTGAGTCTGTTTCCATTGCACTTTGTTGCATTTTTCATTTATCAATACACTTTTCCATCCTCATATGAAGAGGTTTTTTTTCACATTTGAGGGTTTTCAGGCCCTTAAAGGATCGATCTCTTCAAACTGAGGTGCCTTTTTTCACAGAAGACATTTTGACATGTCACAGTAAAAACACAGGTGTTAATAATAAAATGTTTGATGGCTGGATTCCATTCAGCTGCTTCAGCTTCACAGTCCTGGTATTGTTCATGCTGGCTCACGGGGACACTTGAAAAGAACAGAGCCATTGTTAATGTTATTAGTGACACATGTACTTTTTCTAGTCTAAAAAGTCAGAATGTGTGCTCTGAAATGGACCTATTTTCACCCGGACGTGTCCCCACACATTCAGACGTCATTATATTTCCTGCTGCATGAGAACACTATTCAGTATTGTTTACAGTGCACACTGGGAGGAGAAAAAAAGTGTTTCCAGTAATAGACTGTGAGGAGAGAATTGGAGATTTAATGCAAATGAGCTGCAAATGCAAATGCCTGTTTTACAGAGCAGGAAAATAAACACTTACAGTATATTGCAAGCTGTATTTTTTAGATTGGATTTTGACCCACATTTTTATTAAAAACTTTTTATGATATTTGTTCTTTAACATTAAAGATAAATACCAACACATTCATGGATTTTTTTTTTTTTAACTGAAATTAACAAGATCTGCCTGTATAATGACAATCAGGGACACATGGCCTGTGGTGGACAGCGTTGTATCTGTCAGATAAGATCTGATCTGGTGATGTATTTATCAGTGTGATGTCGGGGTGACTGAGAGCTGTTGAATCACATGATAGTTGATCAGACTCATACATTATTCAGTCCTATATATGTTTCCTATTGTTGCTATTTCAGCCTGCGAGGAGGTGTTGCATCATTCACCAAGTTTTAGCATCCACGTAGTGGGACCTGAGAAATTATATGATGAACAGAGAAAAACACAAAAGGACACAGAGCCTGTGTATTTGGGGAACCCTGTGACTTGCTGCTGCCAATGGCCTCATGTTCGCCCTGCTCCATTGTCATCCATAGGAACAGTTTGCATTTCACAGGTTATTGGCATCCTTTGATTGCATCAGCATTTATAGCTCAGGTCCACTTCATGCTCCATTAGCCTCAGGGGGGGACCATTCCTTTCTCTTATGCTGTTTCACACCTCAGCAGAGGAGTCATGGAAAAGATGATGTCTTGATGTCCTCAGGCTAACCCCCCCAACCCTCCACCCACAGGGCCACTGATGAGAAAGGGGACTATTCCCTCTCATATATCCACGGATGAAGGTGATTGGGTGGTGTCCTCAGTGTGCTGCTCTGAACACCGACAACAGAAGGTCCGTGCTCACCGGACGTTGCTTTCACTGTAGGGACTACAGGGTTTTTCAATTGTGTCCTAAATCTATTAGCAGCTAGAAAAGTGCACTCAGTACAGTGCAGAGCTCCACCGGGTTTGTCTGGGGGCATGTGGGTGGGAAAGGTGAAGTGCCAGGCAGGCTGTGTGTCTGGTGTGAATGCACGGCAGTAGTGGGATGAAGGGGAGACAATATGCAAGTGAAATTACCAAGGCGTAACCAGAGAAGACAGGCTATATGGAGACAAACCTCGACAAAACCCCGCCCTACCTCCATCTCCCCTCCCAAACAAAGACCTTTCCCTCCAGGCTCCCTTACAGTCAAGATGGCGGTAA